AAAAAAAAAAAAAAAAACAAAAAACAAAAAACAAAAAACAAAAAAAAAAAAAAAAAAACACAGAACAAACCAGAATACAAAAAAAAAAAAAAAAAGATTGTTTTACTGGTTTTACTGTTGTGAAACTGAGCTCAAATGAGCAATGCATTCTGTTTCTTGGGTAATCAAGGATTTTCCTGGGTTAACAAGGACTTCAACAAGGGAAACAAGGACTGATCTGTTGTGAAACAGTGATGGGAGATGCAGCAAACACTGGTTTGGAGGGTGGTAGCCCCCTGGCTGCTCCCCTCATGGGCATTCTGACAAGGCTGATCCTTGTAAATAAAATTATTTGTATTTTAAAATATAACAAATATTTTCATTTGTCTAAATGGTAGGAATATCTGGAAGGTGACTGCAAGAAGGAAAAAGGATGGTGCACCCAAGTGTGGTCACGGAGCCCAGGGTGTCACTTGAGGAGGATTTCTGAGAACTTGTGAGGTGAACAGCCAAACAACTGCAAACTCTGAAACCCCTGGGTTAGAGAGGGCTTAACCCTCATTAAGGATCTGTCCTTACAGACAGCACAGTTTGGATCTTTGCTGGGGACAAGGCAGGAGACGTGCGTCACTCCCGAGCCTCAGATGGTGGAAGAGCAGAGCTGGGCATCTTCCAGCTGCTCCTTCTGCTGGGGACAGAGGTGGCAACACCCTGGGGAGTGGCTCTGGCCTCCCCTCCAAGGGCAGAATTGGCATGAGAAAGATTTGAGAAGGGTTTTTCACCCTTCCAGGCACATTTCGCATGGTCAGACAGGCAGCAGCCAAGCTGTTAGCACAGAATCAGGCCCCAGTGGTGACTAATTTGCAATATTTTTTCCACACCAGCTTCCCTGCTATTGATTCTGACAAACTGTGGTCTTTTGCTAATCCTCTTGGTGCAGTTAGAAGGATGAAAAAGGCAGCACAGTGAGCAGGGTTTGTCCAGGATGCAGAGGATGTCCAGGACAGAACATGACTCTGGGAGCTGCTTTCCCCAACCTGCAGGGAAAGGCTGCCTGACAGAAATGAAAACTCACTTTAAAAGCTGATTTTTGGGCTGGCTTTGCTGTATCTCATTTGTGCCAAATCTGGTATGAACTGCAGGAGAAAGGATATTTTGCTACCTTAAATGAAAAGGCACAGGCTGAGCACCTGTTCTGTCCTCCTCCTGCCTCCTTAATTGTTGGCTGGTTGTGATCTTTTGGTAGTTTTTTTCT